TTTTATGGCAGCATACTGGATGGATCATCATTTGTTTAACCCTGTTGATGGACATTGTTTCTAATCTTAACAGTGATTTAATGAATACTTTTGTGTAACTATACCTGTGGGACCAAATTTTAGAAGTGGAATTCCTAGGTCAGAGGGTATGTGCATTTATAATTTTGACAAATACCACTATTTGTCAGAGCAGTATTTTATAAACCCTCCCTGGAGGCTGTACCAAAGGTCAGTCCCATCAGCACTCTTGACAGGGACTATCCAACTTCTTCATCTTTGCTCTTCAGATAAATGAGAAAATAGTCTATTGCTATAGCCATTTTGTAATTTATTTTTTAATAAACTTCTTTAAAACTTTATAATTGTAGTATTTGGAAAATGCAGAAAATCACAAAGAGGAAAACAAGAATTACCCAGAGTATTTTTACCCAGGGATAACCACTGTTAATATTTTGGAATACATATATACAAATGCATATATAAATGAAAATCTTGCTCTATAAAGAGTTTTTCATGAGATTAACACTTGTACGATGAAAGTAGTAAATGTTTATTATAAAAGCTTCAGGCAATATGTAAGGGTGTAAAGAATTAATTGATACTTACATGTAATCCCCAAACCTGGAAATACTAATGTGTACGCATATTATCAGTCTGGTTTTATTTCACATTAATTTATATCAATTCAAGTTACTTTACATTAATGTATTCTTTTAATGGTTGATTTGAACATCTTTTTTTTTTTTTTTCTGAGAAGGAGGATTCTCCCTGAGCTAACATCTGTTGCCAATCTTCCTCTTTTAGCTTGAGGAAGATTTGCCCTGAGCTAACATCTGTGCCATCTTCCTCTATTTTGTATGTGGGTTGCTGCCACAGCTTGTCCACCAACAAGTGTTGTAGGTCTGTGCCTGGGACCTGAACCCACACCAGCCCCTCAACACCTTTCTTTCTTTCTTTCTTTTTCTTTTTTGTTTTTGGTGAGTAAGATTCACCCTGAGCTAACATCCATTGCCAATCTTCCTCTTTTTTTTTTGCTTGAGGAAGATTCGCCCTGAGCTAACATCTGTGCCAGTCTTTCTCTATTTTGTATGTGCGATGCTTCCATAGCATGGCTGACGAGTTGAGTAGGTCTGCACCCAGGATCCTAATCTGCAAACCTGCGCTGCTGAAGTGGAGTGCACAGAACTTTAACCACCTGACCACAGGGCTGCACCGCCTGCCCTCCCCCCCACAACATCTTTTTATTTAAGAATTTTGGGGCCAGCCCCATGGCGTAGTGGTTGGGTCCTGTACATTCTTCTTCAGCAGCTCGGGTTTGCAGTTTTGGATCCCAGGCATGGCCCTGCACCACTCATCAGCCATGCTGTGGTGGTGACCCACCTGTAAAGTAGAGGAGGATTGGCACAAATCTTAGCTCAAGGCTAATCTTCCTCAAGCAAAAAAAAAAAAAAAAAAAGAATTAGTTTTTCTCCTTTTCCTTTGACCTGTCTGTTCATGACCTTTATCTGTATTTCTGTTGGATGGTTGGTCGTTTTCCTGCTCATTTATGTAGGCTGTCATGGAGGAGGAGGTTCCCCTCTTCTACTACTCTTCTTTTTTTTCCCTCCCCGAAGCCCAGTACATAGTTGTATATGCTAGTTGTAGGTCCTTCTAGTTCTTCTATGTGGGATGCTGCCACAGCATGGCTTGATGAGCAGTGTGCAGGTCTACGCCCAAGATCCGAACTAGTAAACCCTGGGCTGCTGAAGCGGAGTGTGTGAACTTAACCACTACACCACTGGGCTGGCCCCTACCCTTCTTGTATGCTTATGGCTGGACTAATAATAAAAATGACACAAGCCCAGATTAACAGGAGGAAAACCCAGTTTAATATGTATGTATTAGAGATCATAGAAAATGATGCTTGGAGAATGATCAGAGTAGGCAATATATGTATATTTTACACAAAGAAACAATAAATTTGTGAGGAATGACAGGACAAAGACACTTAGGTTTGAGGTACGTAATTAGTGAGGAATTTAAGCAGAGTTTAGGCTTGAGGTAGTAAATTAGCAAGGTTTGTTTCTGCAGGCTTCTCAGCCCTGAATTCCCAGCTCTGGTGATAAGGATGCAGGTGATAAGGGAGAGCCCCTCTCACTGGGCAGATGGATTTCTTGCCTTCAAGGGGAACAGAGAAGAGGGTCAAAAATGCCTTTTGTGTTTTTGCTTCGACTGCTTTTCAAGTAATTTTAATTCAAAATAATCAATATTCCATTGTGGGATATTTTGAGGCGGCCTGCTCTGGGCCCCAACAAGGCTTTTTGTGGATACCTTTTTGTTATCAGCTGTGAGAACAGTTACATATGTTTATACCCACTTTGTCATCTGTCTTTTGACTTGTCTTACAGATTTGTTTTTATGAGGTCAATTGTATCAAACTTTTCTGTAATTGCTTCTGAGATTTGAATAACACCTGTTTCCTCATTGGGATTTGATAAAAGTTTATAAAAGAATTTTCTCATGGTTTCTTCTGGTACTTTTGAGGTTCCATTTATTTTTTAAAAACCTTATAAATATTTGATCCACCTGGAATTTATCCTGCTATAAGGTGGGGGCTGTGGCTACCCAGTTGTCCCAACACTGTGCCCCATCTATTGAAATGCCACCTTATTTACTCTATTTCTGTATGTATTTGGATCTCTTTCTGGATTCTTTTTCCATTGATCCATCTGTCTAAATATTGGCTTGTACAGTTCTATTTTAATTATTGTACCTTTAAAATATTTTAAAAATATCTCATAGGGGTAGTACCCCCTTTTGTTCTTTTTTACAAATTTCTTGGATATTAATTTTAGAATCAGCTTCTATCTAGTTCCAAAGCTATCCGTTTATTATTTTATTGGCACTACATTATTTTTATAAGTTAACCCAAGGAGAAATGACATCCTTATGAGAGTGACTCTTGCTATCCAGGAATAAGGTGCACCTTACCATTGACTGAAGTCTTTGTACCCTTCAAATAGTGTTGTAAAATTTTCTTCATGGTGATCTTGTGTGTTTTATTCTTAGATCTTCTTAGATATTTTATTTTAGATACTTTATTCTTAGTCTTAGATTTATTCTTAGATATTTTTTCTGTTATTCTTGTTCATTTTTCTTTTTCTTTTCTTATTCATTTCTAAATTTAAACTTTTAAAAAACGAATAATGTATGTTAGCCAGACCCACATGAAAAAAGTTACTTTGAAATTTTCAACGTAGCTGTGTTTGATTCAATTTTGATGAATCCTAGTTCTCAAGACACTTACAAAGTCATTGGTGAGAGAGACTTTCATTCTTAATTATTAGTCTGTTTTCTGCTACAAACTGCCTTTGTTGTTGTGTGCCTTTTACTTTCCTTCTGAGCCTTAGTTCCCTCATTGGAAGTTGAAGAATCTGGATCAGATGTTATCTGAAGTCTCTCTTCCAGCTCTGTGGCTGTTGATTCTGACATGATTAGCTTCTTAGAGGGTTTATATCTGCTCATGAAAGCCGTCTTGATGCTGGGGCCTGTCTGCCTCCAGGTAGCTCAGGACTGTCTGAGCTTTGGACTTTTAGTCCCTTGTGGCCAGGCTGGTGGCCCACCCTCAAGATTATGTTGGGAAGCTTACTGCCCACCTTCTAGAGCTCTCCATTTGGTTGAGTGGTTAAAGGTTTAGGGCCCTATTTTGGAATTGCTTGAAGTCTCCTAGTGTCTCCTTTGGCATATGCTTTTCCTCTCCATTCTCTCCTTTGGACCCTTAGCCCTCAGGCTTCCTATCCTCACGCCATCCACCACTTGCCCAATGCTGCCCTCACTTTCTGCTTTTTTCTTTCCTTCTCTGCCTCCTGTCCCTCCTCTTCCATTTCTTTCCCCCTTCCCCCTTCTCCCTTCCCCAGGGAAGGGAGTGGAGACTAGGGGTTAAAAGAACTAGCTTTGGGGCCGGCCCGGTGGCGCAGTGGTTAAGTGTGCACGTTCTGCTTCGGTGGCCTGGGGTTCGCCGATTCGGATCCCAGGTGCGGACATGGCACTGCTTGGCAAGCCATGTTGTGGCAGGCATTCCACATATAAAGTAGAGGAGGCTTGGCAGCAGATGTTAGCTCAGGGCTAATCTTCCTCACACACACACACACACAAAAACCCAAAACAAACAAACAAAATAACTAGCTGTGCAATTAGCCAGGCTTATGTTCAGATCCACCTTTGCCTCTCTTCAGCTGTGTGACCTTTGGTAAGGTTTAGAGAGAATAAACGCAAAGTGCTAGCACATGGTTACTCTGGGAGGCATCAAAGTGAATGAGCTTGCCTAGTAGTAGTAGTATTAGTAGTAGTGGTAGTAATAGGCTCTTAATACATAAAAGCTGTGTGCTGGTCTCTGCAATAGGAGCTTTTATACGTGGCCCATTGATTCCTCACAAACAGCCCCATATGGTCGGTAGGAATAGTATCCTATTTTGCAGATGGGGAAACTGAAGCCCAGGGTGGAGAAGTGACCTATGCAAGGTCACACAGCTAATGAATGTCTGAGCCAGAATTCACACTCAGGTTTTTGTCATTCCAAGTTAACCTTCCTCTAAGAACTTTCCTCTCTCATAAAGTGATCAGAAAAATGAAAGCCTCTAGAAATGGGAGTGATTTTTCTGAGATCAGCACTGTTTAATAGATCTAAGTGTTCTTAGTCTGTGCCGTCCAGTATAGTAGCCACTAGACTCATGTGGCTGTTGAGCACTTAAGATGTGGCTAGTGGGATGAAGGAACTGAGTTTTTAACTTAATTTGTTCGCTTAAATGTAAAGAGCCACAGGTGGCTAGTGGTTGCCGTAGTGGCCAGTGCAGTTCTAGGTGAGTGCTTGCAGCTCAGCTCCTGTGTAAGTCAGCGGGGAGTGCTCTCCCTCCCCTCTCCCTGTACACCCTCCACTGTCCCCTCCCCCAACAGGTGGGTCTTATTTTTGAATGGAAGATACCGTCTGAGTTTAATTTTTATTGCTTCTTTAATTCTAACAGTGTGAAGAGTGCCAGTGCTGGCAGCATGGGGTCTGCATGGGATTACTGGAAGAAAATGTGCCTGAGAAATACACCTGTTATGTTTGCCAAGATCCTCCAGGTAGAGATTTCTGGAGTCAGGGATATTAACAGTATGTAGCTTTTTCCTTAGCACAGCTGGCTGTGAAACAGCCTAAGTGTCTGTGGTCTTGAGACTCATTTCTTCAGCATCGGCTAGACTCTGACTCCTCCTTGCCTTTGTTGCTCACTCGTGTGGTGGCCAGCTGTCCTGAGCTTAGCAATAGGAGAGCATGTGTGAAGAGGTTCACCTAGTGGAAGGCCTGGCCTTGAGCTAGAATTTTTTTTATTGTGGTAAGAATCATCTATCATGAGATCTACCCTCTTAACAAATTTTTTTAAGTGTACAGTACTGTATTGTTTATAAACTGTAAGCACAGTGTTGTACAGCAGACTTCTAGAACTTTTTCTTCTTGTACGACTGAAACTATAAAAACTGTGGAATGCATTACAAATTTGTGTGTCCTCCATGCATAGGGACCATGATAAGCTTCTCTGTATCATTCCTGTTCTAGAATATGTGCTGCCAGAGTGAGCACCTTTTTCTTTTCTTGAGAGTTCACTAGGATATGGGCTCCGTCCTTGGCTTTTTGGGGCTGTTGGAGGGTTAGAAACCTGCCTTTCCTCCGTTGCATCATTGCTGCCTGGAAAGAGATATGCCCTTGAGGGGAAGGGGAAAATGTGGTTGTGAAGAGCTTGTCTGCCACCCAGAACAGTGAATTAATTCCTTGGCAGTATCAGTTAGTTTCATTCTTCCATGGCCACGGGGCTGGCCTATGGCTCTTGGGTGCCCCTTTCCAGAAGTCTCAGGGGTGGATTATAAATCTGTGGTTCTTGTCTTGCTGTCAAAGGAATGGTGACATCTCCCTTCACTACCTGTAAGGTCTCTCCCCTTGGCTCCAGTCCCGTGATCCCCTTACAGAGAGACAATGCTTGAGAGCCTTTGCTTCTGTTATTCGTTTTAGTTTTATGAGGTGGGCCTGGTAGGAGCTCCTATTCCCGTTTTTGCTTATGAGGGAGAAATTAATCCCCAGGGATAAGAATGACTTTCCTAATCTCATAAGGCAAATTGGAATTAGAACTGGCTTGTGGGGCCAAATCTCTTGATTTTGTTGGTTGCATAGGGAGAGGCTGACAACCACAGTTCATTTTCCTGCAGGTAGATCCCCTCGGGGCCTGATGACCTCTGTTGTGACACTGTGTCTCCTTGTGCTAGATTAGTCCATAAATGGAGAGGAATCTGCTTCTGTTTGTCCCTTTATCCTAAGGAAAGAATATGGTCAGAAGATTAGTCTGTGAGTCATAGAATATTATCGAGGGGCAGGCTCTCAGAGACCAGTTTATTCAGCCCTGACATTTGACAGGTGAGCAAATACAGGCCCAGAAGGGACATGTCTGGGCTAAGATCACTTGGCCAGCTAGTGCCAGACAGATGAGAACCAGTGTGTTTGACCTTTGTCTTGTAAAACAAGTTGGTGCTGCTCTGGCCACTCCTGCAGCAGCTGCCTTTGAGATCCCACGCATAATCCTGAGGGCTCCTTAGGGCAGCGTTTAAAATCTCTTTCTGCTACTTTACTGTCTCACTCTTTCCTTTTACTTTTCTGTTTTTACAATCATACACAGTATCTTGATAATTCCTGTGCACTTTCTGAACTTTTACAACTCTGCCAAGACAGTAAATAGGCTTCTCCTTGAATTGAGTTCTCAGTGTCTGTCATATTTATAGACTGTGTTTGACTCTGCAGTGTCTTGGGCCAGAAATTTAACTTAACAGCTTTATTCATTAAAGGTTGCTTAAAAATGTTTTTAATAGAATTGAAGTGTATCCCCACCATGTGTCTTAGTAAAGCCAGAAAGAGTCCAGGGACCTTGATAGGGATTATGTGGGTTATTTCAGGGTTGTTACAAATATGGAGAGGTGAACAGCAGTCTGATTGAAAGCTGTTCCCTGGGCTTTTGGAGCAGGAAACACTGCCAAGTCTCATGTGGTTGTGTTTTCACTCCTTCCTAAGATCCCTGTAATGACTAAGACCACTGAAGCCATCCAGTTCATCTGTCACTGCAACAGATGGGAAACGGAAGTCTAGAGAAGGGAGGGGGCCTGACCATCTATTTAGTTAGGTGATAGGTGACAGTTGGAGGGGGACTTGGGGCTTCTTTCCATTTGATAAATCCATTCAAGATGCCTTTTGCCAGATTCTGGGGATACAACCATGAACAAGGTGGTTCCTGTTCTTCTGGCTCTTACTGGAGTTGGGGCTAGACACAGTTGTCAAAGTCAGTCAAGTAAACATGTTAGATAGGGATGAATGCATTGAGGGGAAAAAGCAACTAGATAAGGAACAACTGGGAGCCCCTGAAGAGGTTCTCTTACCTTGGGAGATAACAAAAGGCTTCTCTGAGGAGGTGGTAAATGTCTAGTCCTGCAGAGGCCTTGGGAGTAGTGCTCCAGACAGAGAGAGTGTTAAAGCAGAGATCCTAAGACCAGAAAGAGCTGGATGTGTACCAGAAGCTGAAAGGAGGCCGCTGTAAGGCTGGGGCAAGAAGGGCAGGAAGGAGCCAGGTTCTGCAGGCCTTATTAGACCGGAGTTAGGGCTTTGGGTTTTCTTAGGTATGCAATAGGAAGTCATTGAAAGATTTGAGTAGGAGAAGGAATGATGTGATTTACATTGAAAGAGGTATCTAGGTTCCCATACCACCTCTGGCCATTCCAGGAAATCAGGCAATTTACAAGCCTTACTCACTACCTTATTGCTAGCACCTAATAAAGAGCCTAGTATATAGTAGGTGCCAAGTAAATGTATATTGGATGAATAAATGAACACACTGAACATACCAATCCATCCTTCCAATAGTTTGTGTGATAACTGTGTGATGATGAAATAGTCTGGGTTTCCTTCAGGCCAAGTATTAACTCTCTCATTGTCACTGCTTTAGGTCAGAGGCCTGGCTTCAAGTACTGGTATGACAAGGAGTGGTTGAGCAGGGGACATATGCATGGTCTGGCATTTTTAGAAGAGAACTACTCCCACCAGAATGCCAAGAAGATTGTAGCCACCCACCAGCTTCTTGGCGATGTGCAGAGAGTGATCGAGGTTCTGCATGGCCTACAGCTCAAGATGAGCATCTTGCAGTAAGTGTGGCACCTGCAGCTTTGGGGATGAGTCTGATTTGGCATGGTGTGAGAGCAGAATAAATTTGAGAAATTAGAAAGCCACAAAATCAATGGTAAGACAGATGAGCTTGAGACCTTTGCTAAAAATTCTCAGTTACATGATAAACATTCTTTTTAAAAAAAAATCAACTGTATTCAGGTATAATTTACATATAATTAAGTTCACCCATTTTAAGTGTCCATTGAGTTGTGACAAATGTATACACCCTTGCAGCCACCACCATAATCAAGATGTGGTATATGTATTTATACTTTAGTTTGTTTTTTGTTATGGTGTAAAGTTCTGAGGGGATTTTTCTTTTTTAAATTGTGGTAAAATATCCATAATATAAAATTTACTATCTCAACCTTTTGGGGTTTTTTGGTGAACAAGATTTGTCCTGAGCTAACATCTGTGCCAGTCTTCCTCTATTTTGTATGTGGGACTCCAACACAGCATGGCTTGGTGAGCGGTGTGTAGGTCCATGACTGGGACCTGAACCTGTGAACCCTGGGCTGCCAAAGTGGAGCATGTGAATTAATCACTACACCACTAGGCTGGCCCCTAGCTTAACCATTTTTGAGTGTGCAGTTCAGTAGTGTTAAGTACATTGACCTTGCTGTGTGCCTAATCTCTAGAACTCTTCTCATCTTGCAAAACTGACACTCTGTACCCATTAAACAACTCCTCTCTGTTTCCTCTCCCCTTAGCCCCTGGCAACCACCATTTTGCTTTTTCTCTATGAATTTGACTACTCTAAGTACCCCATATTAATGGGATCCTACAATATTTGTCTTTCTGTGACTGACTTATTTCACTTAACATACTGTCCTCAAGGTTCATCTGTATTGTAACATGTGTTAGCATTTCTTCCTTTTTAAGGCTGAATAATATTTTTTTGTATGTAATACCATGTTTTGTTTATCCATTCATCCTAAACATTCCTGATTGGTAAACAAAGTAAAATTGAAAGCTACTGGAAGAGATATTGTTGGCAGGCCTGCTCTCCAGCATAGTGGTTCCTTAATAAGTATGTCTCTTGATGATGTGCTCTCATGCAGAAAAATTTTAGGCCTTTTGGAGCTGGACTGTGGGCTTTTAATGGGCAGAAGTTTGAGGAGTGACATTGAGCATGAATTTCCTTCTGTGATTGCATTCTATGTGTCAGATGACCTAAGTTCATGTAAGCTGAGAAAGACTTTGGCTGTTATTGGGGTCTGTTGGCTTTTATAACCTATCCCCACTTTACCAAAGAGGGCAGTTGGGGCCTTGAGTGGGGCAGCTACTCTCCCATGGTTTCTAGGGGTAGAGCCAGGTCTTGAAATCCAGTCCTGGCTCCTATCAAGTACTTATTGTAACCTTTCTAACTGCCTCTTCTCAGTGGTTCCATGAATTTTCTTTTGGTATTAGCACAGTCTATGGCAAGGATAGCTTCTCTTCTGTAAAAATCTCTCCTTAAGTTCTCCCATGAGCCTGCCCATAGGATGCCATTTTAGTTAAGTCATCGGTAATGACAAACCAGTGCCAGAAGTGAGTTAGACGTGACAGGCCACTCCCTGACATGGTTTTCTTTGTGTTGATTAGTCCTGGAAGCCTCTTGGCATCAGGCAGGGTAGAGTGTCAGAGTCCTGGGAAGGCAGAATTGGGGTCTGCTTTCTCTTGCCTTCTGGTGCACAAAGGCCTGTCTTCAAGTACTGGCATGATGAGGAGTGGTTGAGCAGGGCATATTCAGCAAGAGTACCTTTTAATTTGAGTAAAAGCTAAGCTGCTATAACAAAGACTCAAAAGATAAAGGCTAAAACAAAATGGAATTTTATTTCTCACATAAACAGTGGTCCGGGGGTAGGCAGGGGTCCAAGCCATGTAGGTGGCCTTTCTCCAGGATTCTGTCTGTGGACTTAGGGGCTTGGGTTCCTTCTGTCTCATTGCTCTGGAATTCCGTTGGGGTTACCCTCATCTGCATGGTCAACGCAGTCTCACCTGTACCTCAACTCTGTGCCAGCTCCCAGGTGGGAGAATAGAGAAAAAGGGAAGAGCAAGCAGTTTCGTGAATACACCTAAGTTGAGGGGAGGCTAGCCATGTGCTCAGGTGTGAGGGTGCAGGTGGGTATAAGAGAAAGGGAGGATAGTTGCTGGGGGCATCAGCTGACATTGCCGCAGACTCTGTTGAGGTTAACTGAATCAAGTGCCAGCCTTGGGTAGGATGTCAGAGATAAGCCATTCGCTCACATTTTATAAAATCAGAAAGCTTTACCCCGTATATACTGAATGAGTTTCTTAACGAGATGCCAGAAGTTGACTTAAGTAGGTAGAAGATGGTCCGTGGGAACGCCTGGGAAACCTCAGGTGATGCTCCTGACTGTAAACTTTTCTGTTTCTTCTCGTTTGAGGATTCGATCAGATGGTGTTCTCTTTCTTCTTACTGAAATGCCAGTGCTCCTGGCCCTATCCAGTATTCTGGAAACTTGTACCTTCTGAATACCTGTTTTAGATCCTTTGTCTTTATAGCAGTGACTTTGTACTGGAATTAAATCTGACTTCTAGCAGTTCAGAAGGTATAGGGAGATCTTGTTAGTCATTATATATGGAGAAAAGGTCCTGGCATAGGGGGAGGTGGTCCCAGTATGTCTGTGTACACATGGGTAGCCTCTTGCTGTCACAGGCTCTAGGATCTTCATTTGCAGAAATATTGTTCTTAAGTGGCCTGATGGATTTATTTTCAAAGGCAAACAAAACTGGGAGTAAGTAACTTCAGAGCATCTATTGTCATTTAAAAAGTAGCATACATGTCTTATACATACTTTCTTCATGATTGACAGGGCTTACAAGGGAAGGCCAGGGTCATCTTTGTCTGGAGTAGTAGCCGGGACTTCAGATCTTAGCTGGGAGGGCAAAAATTGTAGGAGGGAGGACAAAAAGACTTTTCTGATTTTCATGCAAGAGGAGGTCCATACTATGGCTTATATGCTCCATGTTAACAGATTTCAGACTATTGTAGACTTGAAAGTTAACAATGACTCCATTTCCCCTGATGCAGTTATGATTTCAGAGGTGTGTCTGGGGTCTTGGATTCCTGGTATAGGCTGTGATACCCTGCTGGAGATGGCCCAGGACCCAGGCTGCCTTGATGCTCATTGTTTCCTTCTCCAGTGTAGGAGTGGTATTGTGGATTGCTGGAGTGGGAGAGGTGAGAAAGGATAATTGCAGCCCCCTAGGAGCAGAATTTTAGGTTCTGTAAGATCATTTCATGCCTGCATATTTATGGTCTATTCCATTTCTGCAAGAAGGCTTCAGTAAAGTGTTGGGGGTACCCACATTTGAGAATTACTGGTTGAGTTAAGCTTATGCTTTCCTGCTGATCTGGTTTTAGTATTTCTCAACTGGGAGCTGGGAAGGTACTGTTGACAATTATATGAAGGGATAATTCTTCTTCGTGTGGGATTATCCTCAGCATTATAGGATGTTTAGCATCCCTGGATTCTATGAACTAAATGCCAGTAGTCCTCTTCATCATTGTAACAATTAGAAAGGCCCCTGCATATTTCTACACATCTGTGAACCAAATGTGAGTAGCTCCTCCCACTTGTTTCCAAACAACCCCTGGAGGGCACTGCCCTCCCAGCTAGGAACTGCTGGGAACCCATGGACCTTACTCCAGAAGCCCACAATTTTTCTTCCTCCCTCCCTCTCTTTCCTTTCTTCCTGCCTTTCATTTAATGATAAAGGTGGGGCCGGCTTGGTGGCATAGCAGTTAAGTTTGTGCGCTCTGCTTTGGTGGCCTGGGGTTTAATCCTACACACTGCTTGTCAAGCCATTCTGGGGCAGGTGTCCCACAGATAAAGTAGAGGAAGATGGGCACAGATGTTAGCCCTGGGCCAGCCTTCCTCAGCAAAAAGAGGAGGATTGGCAGTGGATGTTAGCTCAGGGCTAATCTTCAAAAAAATAAAAAAAATAAAAAAAATCAAGGGTTATAATGGAAGTTCCAGGTGGTAAAGAAGAGATAAAAAGTGAAGTTTATCTAGAGTAGTGTTTTTAAACTTCAAATAATATATATCCCCCACTAATAAATACATTTTATATCACTTACACATATAAAACTGAAACTAAAATTTCACAAAACACCTACTCAGAATAGTGCACTTGATATTTTGTATTCTATTTTTCCTTTTTTACAATTGGTTATGATCCAGTAAGTTAAGTTAATGACCCTCTATTGGGTCAAAACTCAAACAGTGGATGATTCTGGGAAATTCTAAAGTCATACACAGAGTTTTATGTGCACATACATGTAGGCAGAGCTTTCAACAGATTCCCAGAGGAGTCTGTGGTCCAGAACAGGATCAGAATCCCTGTTCTTGAGTAACAAACATTTCTCTTTGAATGGTGAGAATAGATTTTAGAAGAATTTTTTAAGCTTTTATTATTGATGGCCTATACATAGATGAGTTTTGATCGCCCCCTGCCCCAGCCCCCGTCATCATTGTGTTTTTATGATTGAGTGCCCTTGCATGCCAGGATGGTCGTGGTTGTTTATTAATAAGTTAAGGTTATTTTTACTAAGTCACATTTGAAGAGCACTTTGCCACCAACAAAGTATTTCCCTTCAAATTAGTTCACTTAATCTTTATCAAACTCGGTGGTTGATGGCAGACACATGGTCAGCCCAGTTTTGCACAGAGGAAATGGGCATGAGGCTGGCTGGGTGACTTGTCCCAGTTGCACTGCTAAGCAGCGGTGGAGTGGAAAGACTGCAAGTCCAGTCCCACCCACTGCTAGTATGCACAGCCAGAGCTTGCCTGCAAGTGGTCTCCTCAGAGACGCCGGTGGATTTACTTTCCCTCTTGCTTGGCAAGTGGTGGTTTGTGGCCAGATAGCCCAGGTGGGAGCTCTTCTCCCTATTGGGAGAGTGTTTGGAAAGTGAGAAGCCCCTGCAGTGGTCCCAGTTACTACAAAGCCCTTTCCATGTGTGCCTTCCCAACAGAAGCAGGGAGCATCCTGATCTGCAGCTGTGGTGTCAGCCTTGGAAACAGCACTCAGGGGAGGGGAGATCTCATTCCAAACACATCCATGTCACTGAAGCCAAGAGCAAGGAGGAAGCCCCAAGCTATAGAACTTTGAATGGGGTGATGGAGAAGCCCCTGTCCCTGCCCTTGCCCCGGTCTGTGGAGGAGTCGTATATCACCAGCGAGCACTGCTACCAGAAGCCCCGCGCCTATTACCCTGCTGTGGAGCAGAAGCTGGTGGTGGAGACCCGGGGCTCTGCCCTCGACGAAGCAGTCAACCCCCTCCGCGAGAACGGTGACGATTCCCTCTCGCCACGTCTGGGCTGGCCTCTAGACCAAGACAGGAGCAGAGGGGACGGTGATCCCAAACCTAGCTCCCCAAAGGTATGTGGCTCGCTTGTACTTGTTCTTAATTCACTGTTCGAGTGCTTGTAAGTTCTCCTAGGATTAATGTTCTGTGGAATATGTTTATTATAAAATTGTATTTATCGTAAAATTATATTTAAATTTGCTTATCGTAGATGTTTTTTGATCTGTTAAAATGGGTGCAAAGTCAGGAGAGCCCACTTAAACTGAAGACCATTGGTTCTGGGAAATGCCCACAAAATGGCATAGTCAGTGGATGTGGGACTGGAGAGGTGGGAAGTAGCGAGGAGAAAAGGGTGATTGGAACTTGATAATAAATGAAACTAAGTTAGGAAAATGAATTTTTTCTTTAACACAATTTGCATTATAATTGCACTTAGATGCTAATTCTTAGCATGAGCAGAGAATGAGTCAAGTGTTTTGTTGGGTGTAAGTTTTCAATACAGTTCTATGACAGCTTTACTTTGGCTTCTAACTTTGTAGCCCTGACGTAAGAACAGTCCGTTTTGTCAGAATGTTTGCTGGTTTCATCAGTTTTCCTAAGAGCTACTCTTAATTTTTGTTATTCAATTCATTCTCTTCTGGAGTCCCTTGTGTCATCCTCTTGTCAGTGTTGTCATCTTTAACTGTTCATGGTCTCATTCTGCCCTGTCCTCAGTTGTCAGTGAGGCTTGGTGTGATTTGAGAGCTTCTCCAGCCTTGTCATCCTTACTTTCTGACTTTACCCTCCGGGTTGGTATCACCAGCATTAAATACGTTGCTGCATGTTGCCGAGAGGGAGTGTCCTAGATTATAAGCCTCTCAAGAGTGGGCATTGTATTGTACCTCATTCGGTCTGTGCCCTTGCCCATGTCTAAACAGTGCTGGGCAAGGCTGATAAAGATACAGTGTTTAGAGACAGATGCAGTTTCAAGTCTGGGCTCACTCACTCACTGTGTTATTCTGAGTGGGTCACTTCACCTCCTCAGACGTGTCTCCTCACCCACCTGTAGAATGAGGCCAGTGACAGTGCTTTCTCAGTTATTGCGCAACATATTTGTGAAAAGCTCTCAGCACATGGCTTTGCACATAGTAAGCTCTAAATAAATATTAGCTAGGATTTATTTCATTTCAAATGAATGAATGAAAGATTGAGATCACAAACTCCAGAAAAGACTTGTGATCCTGCAGACTAGGCAGATTTCCTAGTGGCTCTGGCATGTAATAAAAAAAATCAGGAAATACTGGGCCTAAACAAAGCAATCAGAGTCATAAATCTCTTTCAGCCTGATGGCGGGCTGACCGTAGGTGGGCACTGTGTTTTGTAGACCTTATCCTATTTCGTCCTTATGTATCTTTAAAGTAAGTTTTACTACTTCCATCTTTCCCATGAGGGAACAGAGGCTCAGAGAGGTGAAGTAACTCATCCAGGTGCACACATTCAGCAAGACACAGAGCTAGGACTTCATACTAGTTTGTCTGACTCCCACATATGACCTTGTCTGCACTCGCCCTGCTCTACTCTGATCTCAGGGCTCTGGAAGCCATTCTCTGAGGGCTACTTCAGGCCTACGGCCATTGGGCCAGTCACTGGGAGGCAGCTGTGAGGCCCTCTGAGCCAGAGGTCTGTGCTGCCCTGAGGTGGTTACAATGGGTACAGCAGGCATGCATCTGCTCAGTGCCCGAGAGAAGGAGGAAAGGGAGATAGAGATTTGGAGTATTCCAACTGCAACTGTTTTTTCAGATAGTTGCAAACACTGGCTGGTTGGAGAAGGGGCTGGGAGCTGTCTCCACTCAGTAACTTAAATGCTGTTGCATCCCCAGGTGAGGGACTATGTCTCTAAAAAGGTCCTACCAGAGGAAGCCCCTGCTCGGAAGCTGCTGGACAGAGGCGGAGAGGGGCTGCTGAGCACCCAGCACCAGTGGCAGTTTAACCTGCTGACCCACGTGGAATCCCTTCAGGATGAAGTCACGCATAGGATGGACTCCATTGAGAAGGAGCTTGATGGTAGGGCTCCTTCCTTGGCTCCCTGCCTATTGGGAGGCACTGTGAGCCCGCCCGAGTCAGCTGCTTTCTGAACCCCCAGTCTGGCTCTCCAGGGACAGCTGTAGTCTTGCCTCCTCTTCTTTTCAGTCTCACTCACCTCCCTTCTCCCCTCAAGATGAGCAAGCCTTACTTTTAGTCTTTATCGGGCACTTCTATAATATTCATGATGCCAGGGGTCCTGCCTCTCTTGCCCAGTCCCTTCTGCAAGGAGAATGTGCAGGAGAGCAGCTGGACTCGGCCTGCAGGCAACGTATGATTGAGAAAATCTTAACTAACCAAGTTCTGTGGGGAATTGAAACTTTGACTTAATTGAGTTTTTAGGATGTTTGAGGATTCATCTGAAAAGAACTTTTATTTTAGCCTTTGGTAAAATCTAAGATGAAGCTTTCTCTTTATCAGTAGAGATTTAAGAACTTGATTGAGTCATTTGTGTAGCCCCTGGGTATTTCTCCCAGATGTTAGTGGTAACAGATGGGCCTGGAGGACTGAACTTGTGATGATGAACATGATCAAGTTCAGTCTTTTTTGATCCCCAGGAAGTTGGCAGTTTGGTTTTTGAAGACAAAATTCTTTCTTGATTGTTCACTTATTTCCTAATTATTTGTGTTCATCCTTAACATGGAGCCCGATTAAGAAATAAATGTTCTGTTTGAGGATTCTGAGTACAGTCAGGCTATTATTAGTGTAATTGGGGATATAAAACATACTTAGATGAAATAAATCAGAAAAATGCCATATGTTACACAAGCTAGGGTCACGAGATGTGGTCAGGACGTGTGTATGGCTGAGGCCATACCAGGGGAGAACTGTTGTGAGGGGAGGCAGTAACATGAAGGCTTTTGGGACTCCTGGGACTGAAGCAGAGCCTTGAAGAGAGTGATGTTTTCCGCTGGAGAGCAGGTGACTCAGGGTGGATAAGAGGACTGGCTCCACTGGAAAGGGGATTGCCCTGCTGGAGGACAGTGAGAGAAAGAGAGACCTACAGGCCCTCATGCGGACGTCCGGCTCCTGAAGCAAACCTGGGGAGCTACGAATGGGAGGCTAATTCAGGGTCCATCATGAGGGCATTTCTGTTTCTCTTTTACTCCTGAAAGGTTTTCTTGGGCTCCTTAGAATTGTAACTGATGCCACTGTCTGCGCAAACCCTGCTGTTGGAAAGCTGAAAGAGGATCAGTGCCAGACTGAAAACTGTAGATTTTTGAGAGAATGGCAGTAGGAGTGGCTCTGGGTCCCTGAGAGGAGGCTTAGCACCATGGAAACAGGGTGAACTGTTCTGTTTTGGCAAAGGAACCTGCCCTTAGGGCAGAAGTCAGAGTCTCCCTACTTCTAACTCACTGATTTGTCCTTCCCGCCGCTGGCTCGGGCTCCAGCCCTGAGCTCACTGAGTGGGCAGTGTGGTGGGGATGAGAAACTTGGGCTCCCTTCTCTGGCCTTCCAGAGGGCCTCGTATGTGTCCCGCTGATTTGGGGCCACAAACTCTGTTCGTGTTCTAATCCTCCAGGCCCAGGGAGGTTACCGAGGAAGCATGAAAATCAATTATAAAGTTTAAAGATTTTATTCAGGTAAATAGACTGTTGCATTGCATTTAATTAAGATTCATCAGAATCCCATTTTATTTCTACTGTGGTAGGGAGTGAACTCTCTTCAGTTCATCTAATTACCATCAAGATAAGCTCAGCTTTTATGGGAATTTGGATACAATATTCCTTTTTAAAAAGCCTAGTAAGCTGTTATATTGACTAATATATATGCTTTTAAAAAGTCATTGTTTTAATATTAACTATTATTTAATAATTTATTTAGCTTATATGAACAGTATCATAAAACTAAAAGACAAAAGATGTTTAATGACCACGAAAATATTGAATCTTTTAGCAATAGAAATATTATCTTAAGAAAAAAAGTTACCTTAGTGATCACTGGCCTCTATCCAGAGGGTCTGGGAGAGTGGATTTGAAATGGAACTTTACCTTTGTAATCTTCTGCCTTGCTTGCAGTCATTATACTGCTGAGAAGCTCTTGACCTTCTTTAAAAGAGAAACTTGGGGTGATGGTACCGCAGATGGTGCAGAGAGAAGGCTGGCCTGCTAGATGCTAGGGTCCAGAGGAGATGCTGTTGGCTGCCACAGTTCTGGGTCTGGTCTTCAGCCCTGCAGCTCTAGAGAGGAGGCTTCTGCTTTAGGGGCTCCAAATATTCCTTTTAACCAAGCTCAGAGACTGTTGTCTTCTAGTCTGCACACTGGTGCCCTTTCTCCCTTCGCAAGCCTCCTCAGTCACCACAATGTCAAGGGATGTCTTAGTGAGCCTGGAACCAGATCTGAGGTAGTTATGGTGACCTTAGGAGGGGCCTCTCAGCAATTGTAGGATCATCTTGTCAAGGACGGACTCGCTGACTTGTCTCAGTTGGAACTTGTCCAGCATTGGCTTCGGGTCTTTTCTCCATTTATACTTGTGCCTTTTTGCTGAGCAGTCCTCTTATCTCCTTCCAGTTTTTGTTTTGTTTTTAAGACTTAATAATGTATTGAAACTGGTCACTATGGAGTTTTTATTGCTCGGGAGGTCACTAGTCACTCCTATATGACTTTGATCCTTTACTCTTGGTTTTCAAGTTCAGGTCTGAGAAGGTGGTCTTATTTTTCTTATTTTCAAGTCCTTGTACTTGTTGGGGTATGGAAGAGGGAAGGTTCCTCCTTGGAACCTCCAAATACGAGTAAGAAATCTGAGAGGGGGGGAAGGTAAGCTCTGTGAAGCCCAGGCCATCAGCGGGGCATTTTGCTAGGCCATTCCCACGTTCTCTCACTGCCTTTGTTGAGTGTCTATTGTGTTCCAGGCACAATTGAGTGCAAGGCAGACTCGGCCTCTGCCCTCATGGAGCTTGGTCTTGTGGTAGAGACAGATATTAATTAAATCATCCCACTATATATAATTACAAACCATGGTAAGTGCTCCAAAGGAGGAGAGCATGCGATAGCATGGCACCCGTAAAACAGGGACTAGATTCAGAGTGTAGAGTTGGGGAAGGCTTCCCTGAGAAGTAACTTGCCAGGAGCAAAAGATTTAGAAAGATAGGAAGAAAGGTGGGTGGCCGAGTCTGAGGAGGGGAGAGGATTGTGTGTGAGGCCTCAAGTTGCTTGAGGAACAGGAACTGGGTGGGTCTTCCTCTTTCTGCTCCTCTGGCTCCAGGGTCCAAAAGATGCTCTGTACAGGTTGGTGCATGGGCTAGAAAGTTTACAGGCAGGCCAAGGTAAGCACAGGGCCTCCGTGGAGGGGTTGGCTCTTGTCAAAGATGCAAGGTTCCAAGATGGACTCTTCCAAAATGCCAGAGCTTCAGGGAGTGGCTTGGGAAAGAACAAACATCTTTCCATAGAGAAGTCCCTGCTCTCAGGAGGAAGACAGCTTTTTCAGTATTGAAGCAATTATAATCAAGTGTGTTAGTACCTGGACATCTTACATTAAATACTTAAAGAGAGAAAATAAAATCAGAGTATTCTGTGCTAGTGATAGGAATTAATACGAAGCAAATCAGAATTTATGGTGATAAAAGTAGACTTTTTCAAGTCCCTTTAGATTCTCATTTTCTTAATAGGAGGATAAAACACCAGGCTCTCTGATTTCCAACATGGGAAAGCCTTATAAAGATTGGGCAGGGGCTGGCCCGGTGGCACAGTGGTTAAGTGTGCATGTTCCAGTTTGGCGGCCCGGGGTTCGCTGGTTCGGATCTCGGGTGTGGACATGGCACTGCTTGGCAAAAGCTATGCTGTGGTAGGCATCCCACATATAAAGTAGAGAAAGATGGGCATGGATGTTAGTTAAGGGTCAGTCTTCCTCAGGAAAAGAGGAGGATTGGCATCAGTTAGCTCAGGGCTAATCTTCCTCAAAAAAAAAGATTGGGCAGTAACACTGAGAAAGGTGAGTCCTGCAAAGCCTTCTTGATGCTAGAGCTGCACTAATACAGTAGTCATTAGCTCTGTATGGCTATTTAAGTTAATTAAAATTGAATAAAATTTAAATTCAGTTCCTCAGTTGCACTAGCCACATTTTAAGTACTCAGTAGCTACACACAGCTAGTGGCTACTGTATTAGAAAACACAGACAAAAACCATTTCTATCACTGCAGGAAGTTCTGTTGAACTGCACTGCTCTAAAGCACCTGAGCTTTGTCCTAGGAATACTACTTGTAAGGAGGGCGATGAGTCAGTGTTGCCTGAAATGGCCCTCTCCCCGCCCCCCATGAGTGCTCAGATGGCTAAGGTGCTGGAGTCCTTGCTGATGTTCTTGCAGATCAAGTGTTGGGAACTCACTGGGTCTTCTCTCTCTTCTGCTTACAGTGTTGGAGAGCTGGCTGGACTACACGGGGGAACTGGAGCCCCCAGAGCCGCTGGCCAGACTTCCACAGCTGAAGCATTGCATCAAGCAGCTGCTGATGGACCTGGGCAAGGTGCAGCAAATTGCACTCTGCTGCTCAACATGAAACTGGGCACCCAAAACTAATGGGGGCACAATCCTGGGGCACCTGCAGGAGGAGCTTCGCATATTTAAATAAATAAACCTAGCATGCCGAATGCACGTGACACCGACTGACTTCAGGGATCTGGGCAGGGGGTGTGATGGACATTGGAAAAGAGGCCATTTTGGCTGCTGGAGGGCAGGGCACTCTGATCTCGGAGCCTACCAAGAAGGTAGCAAATAGACTCTTGAGATTCCCTTCTTCTGTGCACATCATTGAATGGAGAGTGAGTCTTTTTGCACAAACTTCACTTGAAATCGTGCCACTGATGATAAATGGAATGAGAGCCAAAAAAGTTTAGTTGGAAACAGTTGTAAATTCAACTTGCAGCTTATTTAATTGACTTTTCTGTCAGGTTGGGGCACACGCCAAGCCTTCTGGTTTCTGCCTGGCTTGGATTTAGGCAACCGGCATCATTTTCATTTTTCCAGCTCCGTGGGAATGTCGTGACTTCACCAATCTGTGGAGGTTGGGAAGGAGCAGAGGCCTTGGCTGCCCTGCCTTCTCCTTAGGACTCTTCACTTTTCTCACCACATCTCTTGCATGACTTCATGGTACCGGGGACAAGTTTTGTATGTTTTCACCCCAGAGTTGGCTGGGTTGTGTCTTTCGTAGCAGAGCCCATACAGCCTGTGGAGGAACTAGAATCTCACTCTAATAAGAATCTAGGAGGAATTCCAAACTGAAGCAGGCAGGGTCTGGAACCCAAAGGACAGCATTTTCTACCCACTTCTTAATATTGACAGCTTCCCAGTTCCGTTTGATGTCCAAAAAATGTTTCCCAAAATTTTGAATTCTTCCACTGTAAAGATTTGTTACAAAAAATGTGGTTTGGGGAATTACTTTATTTTATATTGTTGTAAACAAACTTCAGATTCTACATGTGCCGCTTTCTGCTTCCCTGAAGGGTGTATGTTCAGTAGTCGGCATTTTCAGAATTGTTTTAATATACTTTAACACTTTAGATTTCCTGTTTGTATTATTTTGTGAGATCAAGGTGATTATGCTGCTTACGGTCCAGGTACAGTTTGTATCCTTTGAGACAATATTTGTTACTCTTGCAGGTTACGTTTCCACGTGTAATTGCTCTATTGTTTTGTTTTTCCTTACTAGAGAAAGTTAAAGAAAATGTTCCATGCTTTGAGGAGTGACCTGTTTCACCATTTAGTTTTCTTATCACGAAAGGCAAAAATCAAAGCACAGTTGTCCATTAACACTCACAAGTTAATTATGGGTTTATGAATCTGTAATGTTATATGCTGCAAATATTTACTATGTAAACGTGAAGTAGCCATTAATAGCGGTGACAGAATCTCCAGCGACGTCTGTAGTGGTTAAGCTTTAAGGCACAGGTCATTTTGGTCTGAAGGCCTCTATATCAAGATCTGTTTCAGGGAATGTTCTGTCTAGTGATTTGTTCACCATTTGATATAAAATGAATTTAGGACAAATTGACTTGCTGTAGCTTATCCATCAGAGGGAATATACGTGGCTATGACATCTGAAAGAAAGCTGACACAATTCCTCTCCAAAGAGGCTGTTTCCCATTGCTAATATTGGTGTTTCTGGTTTGGGAAGAAACGCTCAAGGAGTGTACATGGCATCTATGTTTTGACAGACAGCCACATTATAAGAATTGTATGATGCTTGTCTGAAAAGGGAGGAAACAGGATGATTTTTTGTAGCCACAGCTGTGAGGCATGACTGTTGTATTAGATTACTAATTTTCCTTTTCTGAAAATAACATTTGAACATCACATCTGGGGAAGCTGTAACGTTAAGGAAGTCAATCTTATGTCTTTTTTAAAGATGGAAGCAGAAACTGAATTACCCTAATTTTGCCAAGTGGCCATTACTGGGTTTATTAAGTTTTGTAAAGGAAATGATCCCATTTCACTCATTGTGACTTTTGTCCTTAGGGAAGCAGGGATGACTCCAAGTTCTCATAACCTCAGTGTGCTTCCCTAATTTAAAGCCATGTTGAGGGGCTCCATCCCCAATTCCTGGGTCAGGTTGCATTAACCCCAAGTTGGAGCACTGGAAACTGTTATTTGCAAATATTACTGTTACCATTTAGAAATATGTACACTACCTAAGTTTTCTTTTGAGAAAAACTATCCATCTATAAAAAATTGCCTTGACAAAAACAGTTCTGGTTTGACTAATCATTTTGTTTTTTTAAGCGACTGAGTGTAAGCAAGGTGGACCCTTGATGAGCCAACATTGCACTGTGGATACATATCTATGTTTACGCGCTATTAGAACAGAAGGCGCTGTATATAGAAATATTGCTTTGAAGCAATATTTGCAAAACATGCAAACTTCTGTATCTGTATTTGGGAAAATAAAAGATTTTTGTTGCTATGTTTCAGTCATGTTATTGATTTACGAAGTTCTCTGTTCTATTTTTAATATGCATCACTTAATTTTTTATAAACATTACCTTTTAAAGGAAGCCTGCTTTTACATTCTAAACATTTATCTTCTGCAGGGAGGCAGATTCAAGCTCCAGATGCTAAATCCCAAGAAAGTATGCAAAATACTTTTGAATTCATTTAAGTGTCTTTAATATTCAAAAGTAAAATGCCCCACACCAGCCTGTAGCCCAGACTGGCTACTTTGTGGTGTGACCTGCAGGCTTATTTGATTTTGATTGTTGAAATCACTGCAGGGAAGACAGATCTGGCTTTCCTTATATTAAGAGATGGCACCCACTGCAATCAGGACCCTCCTGAGACCAATCCAAACTGCCTGTGGACCCCAATTAGCTCCTTCCTGGATGAGCAGAAGACTCAAGTTTTAAGATTTCACAGGAGAGCTTCCCTATTACCTCCCCCAAATTCCTTCTTCCCTTTCTAAACAATTACGCTTCTTAATAAAATCAGTTGGACAGACATTAAATAGCTCCAGCAATGTAAATTATCCATTAGTTCACACTAGGTGTGCTGCTTAAACCCTTCTAGAGGCCTAAAATTTGGCAAGGCAGGTGAGTCTGGAAGCTTAAACTAGAACTCGCCAACAAGAACTAGCCTCTCTCTCCAAGGACCTGCATTAAAACAGACCTAGAGCTTGGGCCTTTTGGGAAGCCTGTGCCCAAAGGGCACACTCGTGGAGCAAGTTGGCGGCAGTACTGGTACAGAGGTGACCAGTTAAGTACTCAAGAGAGCCAGCTATTTGCCTGCACAATCCCACAAACCACAACCACGTATAAGGCGTATCACTATCATCTATCTTTTCAGGTATGAAAACAAGCTCCCTCTGTAGCTAGTGAGAGGTAGGGACGAATGTGTAACCCACGTTGCTGGAACCTTCATCACACAGACTCCAACTGAAAAAAAGAACCCCAAGCGGGGCCCTTGGAAGCGCGCAGGAGAAAAACTTCCCAGATGTGGTGGAGACCCAGGCCTAGTCAACAAGCAATGATCCCACAAAAGCCAGCGAAGGCCAAGCGAATAGGAAACAAAGGCTTTATTCTCACGGGCTCCCAACTCGGTTTCGCCACCAGGCAGAAAGGAGGTCGATTTCTCGGGGAAAATAAACCAAGGACGAACGGAAGGGACACACCAGACTACAGGAACTGCCAAAACTCGTTTTTCATTGACGCGGAGTAGTGAGCCCGGCTCAAGCCCCGGGGCCCAATCATGGCTCCAGACCGGAGAGCGCCCGGGCCGCCCGCAGCTCCGCCGCTCAGCCGGTGATGCGCACATCGGTGCGGCGGCGAAGCCGCCGGGCCCGCGCCGCCTCGGGCAGGATGGCGAGCAGCTGCTCCTGCACCAGCATCTCCACGATCTGCTCCTTCGTGCGAATGTCGGGCCGCAGCCACTGGCGGGAGAGCTCCCGCAGCTGTCGGAATGCCTCCCGCGGGCCTGCCGCATCCTGGTAGCGGAACTGCCGGAAACGCTGGCGGAACGTCTCCGGGCCGGGCCGGGAGCCGCCGGGGCCTGCGGGGGAGCGCGGAGCGGCTTCGGCAGGCGGCGCGGAGCCCAGGGCCGCGGGGGCCGCCGCGGGAGGCGTAGGAACCGCTTCGGGGACCGCGGCGTTAGGGCTGGGGGGCTCGAGGGCAGGCGGTGTGGCCTCAGGGGTCGACGAGGAGCCCGCAGAGTTACGCTCCGGGCTTGAGCTCAGGCCGGCTCCTTCCTCTTTCTCCGGCAGCGGCGCGGGGCTCCCAGGGGCCGCCAAGCTCGGCTCGGTCGCCGCCATGACGCTGGCTCTGGACGTCACTCTTTGTTCCGCGGCTGTGCGCTCAGGACTGCGTCTGCACGGGGGCGGGGTGAGGAGGGAGACGTCTCCTGCCAAAGCGCAGAGGCCGCGCCGCGCCGAGGGAGGCGGACACTGGGGGACCGAGGGGGGCCGGAGCTACCGGCACCAGCTTAGCGCCTGGGGAGGCCGGAAGCGGAAGTCTCCGTTCGCTCCTCCATGCTGAACTCTGCGCGCGAACGCCCGGAAGCCGAGCCCCGGCTCCCGGAAGTGGCGCCCCCTAGCGTTCGCGAGGCGCATCCGAAGGCGGGAGCGACCGCGGAGTGGCAGGCCACTGGAAGCACGTGGTGGCCTCGGGATGGTGGCGCGTCCGTGCACCAGTTCGAGAAGGAGGAGTCGGAGGCGGAGTGGGAGGAGTGGGAGCTGGAGCCGAAGCCGAAGGAGGAGTTCCTCAAAGGGGTCTTTATCCGCTACGATCGCGTCTCGCTGCAGGTGACCTGCGCCTGCCCCTGCGTGCGCGCCTCCTCACTTGATCCTGATTAGATGACGTCGAGCCGAGGACTCGCGGGGCCTGGAGCCCGGCTGGTGGGGGGAGCGGGGCAGCCGGATGGCGGTCGGGCACTGGGGGCGGGCCAGAGTTAGGGGAGTTCTGTCCCTCTGTCAAAAGAGGAGGGCATCAGCGCCCACCTTATTGCTAGAAGGACGAAACAGAACGTGTGTGAGGCCCTCCACACGCCTAGTAAAACTTGCCCTTGCCGTGGCACAAAATAAATGCTCAAGAACTCTTTGCCATTATTATTTTTTTGCGTGTCCTCTGAAGCCAAGAGACAGACGGCTCTGTGGGCTCTGCTTTTGACTTTAGAATTAGTAAATACACTGTAAATGCGTTGCCCCATATGGTGACCACTAGCCGCATGTGCTTACTCCCTTGAAATGTGGCTCCTTGCAGTTGAGATGTGCTCCAATGTAAAATACACGGGTGGGACTTAGTATGAAAAAAACAATGTAAAATATCTCAGTAATTTTTTATATTGGTTACATGTTGGAATGATATTTTGCATATATTGGGTCAAATAAAATATATTATTAAAATTAATTTCACTTGTGTCGTTTTACTTTTTAAATGGGGCTATTAGGAAATTTTTAAATTACGTATATGGTTTACGTTATATTTCTGTTGAACAGCACGGGGCTGGGCTTTTGGAGCCTGGCTGAATCCCCAAGTTCCCATTGCAGGGTTTATTTGCCTTAGGTCAGAGTTGTTGAGAGGATTAAGTCAGTAAAGCCCTTGGAAAGAAAGGGCTTTTTAAATGGTTGCTGTTGTCTTCATTAGGTGAATTGTTCTCTGTCTCTGAGCTACGGTTTTATCATCTATAAAATGTAAATGTAATAGAACTTACCCCATAGAAGTTAGGAGAATTCAGTGCGATGATGTAGGTAAAAGCATGTGGCTCTGACAGCCCTTCAGTAAGTGATAATGTTCTGTTTGACAGCTGACTCACAAACATATTTTGTATCCCCATTTAACAGATAGGGAAAATAAGGCCCAGAGAGAGACAAGGGTCCCATAGGAAAGGTTTTGTATGACCCTTGCGGTCCGTTTGAGCTTTGTGCAGATTGAGTGGACCTGTTTAACAAGCATCAACACATCAGTGGCCCTGATGGAAAACTTGCCTCCCACATAGGATGTGCTCTTTTGCATGAGTAGAGGTGGATCCTCACAGAACAGTTTACAGAACCTGAAAATCTTGAAAGTCATCACAATGTGTCTTTAATGCTTTTTAGTTACTGATGTAAAAATTGGGAGATTTCACGTGCAAATCTGGATTTCCAGCTTTTCTCGAAAAAGTGGACAAGCTGGCCACACTGGACCAACCGGCTTTCCTGCCAGTTAACAATCAGCTGGGGCTGAGTTGAGTCTCCTTCCTTTAGACAAGATACTCTGTCCCAATTGACCTCAATCCCCACCACACTCTGGTGTGCTCCGAAATAGAATGATGTTTGTATTTACTATTGCGTTCAGGTTGTGTTTTCCTTAGAGCTGGTGTTTTTCTCTGTTTTCTTTTCAGAGGTGGGAAAATGGGCCTAGAGTTTGTTGCACCTACTGGTTCAAACCTTTCTTTCCTCTGCCTGGGCCCTGGGCGGTTGGGTTTGCTGCCCTGCTGAACCAGCAGTCCTAGTGCCTGTGTAACAGGTGGTGTATCCGGGGCCAAGGGAGCACAACAAGCTCTGCTGCAAGGATGAGGGGTCGTAGAAGGCTTCCCTGGGGAGGGGACCTTTAAACTGAGACTCGTGAAATGCATTGACACCAGTGACTCCATTTTGTACCTGGACTCCATCTTGTTAAAGATATGAAACTGTGCTGACCTTGCTGACTTGTCAAAAGGGAGTTATTTGCCGAGAAAGGACTTTCTGAAGGACTATGCAAAACTATACTTTTTGTGATATCAGCAAGCTGTCCTTGAGTAAGCCAACAAACTGTAACATAAATTTACCCTCCCTAACAAACAACTGAGGTCATTGTTCTGGGCCCTCTTTTTTGCTGATAAAAACTTCTGACTTGTACTCCTCAGGGGCCGCTTTTCTGGCTACTGCCAGAACCTGTGTTCTCCAAATTGCAATTCTAAGACCCCAAATAAACGCTCTCCTTTTGTTTTGCAGTTCCCTCTTTTTTCTAAGTTGACAGAGTCAAGAAGAAAACGAGTGGAGTTAGGGACCTTCCAGGTAGAAGGCACTGCCTGTACCAAGGAGCAAAACTTTGTGGAAACTGCAGGCTGGATGGAGGAGTGGTTGGGGCCTGGGGAAGGGATGAGAGCTGAGGTTGGAAGGGCAGTTGGAGGTTAGATCATAAAGAGCCTGGAATTCCGTGTTGAAAGATTGAATCCTGTCCTCTCAGGAAAGGGAATGAACTCTTGTGGTATTTGGAATCATGGAATGTTGGATCTCTAGTCCATTTCTTCCATCCCTGTTGGAATCATAGTATACATGTTAGAGATGGAAGGAAAGATCTTAGAGATCTGTTAGAATTGTGGAACATTAGAATGGAAGGGGCCTTAGAGGTTAAATCCAAAATCCAATTCAGTTAGGGGCTGGCCCAGTGGCACAGCGGTTAAATTCACATGTTCCGCTTTGGCAGCCCGGGGTTCACTGGTTCTGATCCTGGGTGCAGACCTTTGCACTGCTTATCAAGCCGTACTGTGGCAGGCATCCCACGTATAAAATAGGGGAATATGGGCACGGATGTTAGCTCACGGCCAGCCTTCCTCAGGAAAAGAGGAGGATTGGCAGCAGATGTTAGCTCAGGGCTAATCTTCCTCAAAAAAAGAAAAAAATTCCAGTTCAGTTATTCGAACCTCTATGATTCAGTAAGCCCCCAGAATCTGAAAAAAAAGCTATAATGCCTCTTCTTAGAAGAGGGATGCGCTTAGATACTTCTGCATACAGTTTCAAGTAATTTCCAGATGTCCTTGAACCCACCCAGAGGGCCCAGATTAAGTTTAAGATATATATTTATACGTATTTTATTCTCCTGATTTTGCAGGTTGAGAAGCCAAGACACCAAGAGGCAAAGGATTGGTCCAAAATGAAAAAACTAGTAAGTGGTTCCATGAGGACAGAATTCTTTTGATTTCTAGTCCAGTGGTCTTATTAAGCCTTTTTTTTAGCACTAGGTTGGGAGCTCACTTGGAATCATAAATCATTCAACTCTTATCACTTAGCTTCTAACACAACGGCTGACTCCCAGTTGACCCTCCGTAAATGTTGTTTAAGGGAAAGAGGACGAGCAGTGGATTGCAGACTATTCCTGTGAAGGGAAAGCTCTAATGTGAGTCTGAGCCTCTTTCAGACAGAAACTCTACTGTCTTTAGATGGCATGCTATTATGGGTTGCGGAAAAGAGGCCTGGCTACTTTTTTTTTTTAGTGAGGAAGATTGGCCCTGAGTAACATCTGTTGCCAATCTTCTTGTTTTTGCTTGAGTAAAATTTTCCCTGAGCTAACATCTCTGCCAATCTTCTTCTATTTTGTATGTGGGATGCTGCCACAGCATGGCTTGATGAGTGGTGCATAGGTATGCACCTGGGATCTGAACCTGCGAACCCCAGGCCACAGAAGCAGAGCATGTGAACTTAACCACTATGCCACCAGGCTGGCCCTGATACTTGTTTTTTTAATGCTTTTTATTTGTAAATAATTATAAATTCATAGAAAGTTGCAAAAATAGTACAGAGAGGTCTCATGCACCCTTCATCCAGTTTTCCCCGATGGGAACATCTTGCATAACTATAGTACAATCTCAAAACCAGGAGATTAACATTGATACCATCCAAAGAGTTTATTCAGATTTCACCAGTTTTTTTTTTTTTTCTTTGAGGAAGATTAGCCCTGAGCTAACTACTGCCAATCCTCCTCTTTTTGCTGAGGAAGACTGGCCCTGAGCTAACATCCATGCCCTTCTTCCTCTATTTTATATGTGGGATGCCTACCACAGATGGCTTTTTGCTAAGCGGTGCCGTGTCCACACTGGGATCCAAACCGGTGAACCCTGGGCCACTGAGAAGCGGAACATGCGCACTTAACCGCTGCGCCACCAGGCTGGCCCCATAGATTTCACCAGTTTTATATGCCATCATTTGTGTATGTGTGTAGGCCTATGCAATTTTATCACTTGCAGATTTTTGCAACTACTACCACAATATCTAGAAATTTTTTTTAAAGATTGGCACCTCAGCTAACAACTGTTGCCAATCTTCTTTTTTTCCTTCTTCTTATTCCCAAAGCCCCCCAATACATTTTTGTATATTCTAGTTGTGAGTGCCTCTGGTTGTGGCATGTGGGACACCGCCTCAGCATGGCCTAATGAGCGGTGCCACGTCCGCGCCCAGGATCCGAACTGGCGAAACCCTGCTGCTGAAGCGGAGCACGCAAACTTAACCACTTGGCCCCGGGGCCGGCCCCCTAGAAATGTTTGATCACCACAAAGATCCCTCGTGCTGCCACTTTATAATTACATCCTTTCCTCTCCCCTACCTGCCATCCCTAACCACAGGCAACAATAATCTGTTCTCCATCTCTATGATTTTGTCATTTCAAAAATATTATATAGGGGCCGACCCTGTGGTGTAGTGGGTAAGTTCACTGCACTCTGCTTCAGTGGCCCAGGTTTGTGGGTTTGGATCCCAGGCACGGACTTATACCACTCATAAGCCATCCTATGACAGCGACCCACATATAAAGTGGAGGAAGACTGGCACAGATGTTAGTTCAGGGCTAATGTTCCTCAGCAGAAAAAAAAAGGTTG